AAAGACACCATTCCCCAGCAGCCGGGCTCGCTTGTGGGGCTGTGTCGGCTCCTTAAAGCTGCACAATGACTAGAATAAGAATGTCACTTAACTTACGCAATCTGTTGAACAGAACTGAGAAGTTAGTTCGCTGTCAGGCTCAGGTCTGACTTGTCGAACTCTCTGCCTTTCGGCAAAGAGGAACCGAAGCGAGTCTATGCCGATGAGTAGACTCGTCTTGGGAGGTAGACAAATCCGACCCTGTGTATACAGTGTCTATGGAATATTTTTGCCGAGCGTAAGGGCTCGGAACGTCCCACGTAAAAAAAAAAAAAAAAAAAAAAACTGGCCTTGTGCCACATCCCACCTTGTGGGGAGGACTTGACTAACTTACGCAATTTTCTCTTCTTTCTAAAGCGCCAATTAAATTAATACATGTCCGCAACTGTAACTGTTCCCCCCCACCATGTGAAGAGCATAAAGACATAACATTAACAAATCTGATTAAATTTTCCCTAAAAAAATCGATATAACAACCTGGTATTTGCGACTAAATTTTTCACACAATAATGTCAGTTATTTTTTTTTTTAACTATGTGTTGTTATTTTATAGAATTATTTTTTTGAGTCTGTGTCAGGTTTCAATTTGGATTTAGTTGATTTTAGTCACAAAAACAGTAATTACTTGGGTACAGTTTATTTCGAATAATTGGGACACAACCAGAATATATTAAATTAATATTCTGTTCAGAAATACAGTCGTTATTGTCTGAGTTTCTTGGATAAGATGTCATCATTATTTGCACTATTTACATGCGAAGTACTGTTATTATCATTATTGTTGTTATCACAACGTTTCAGCTGTTGTGCCCTTTGGCCTTCATCAGGGGTATGTCGATCCGGCTAACCTACAAGGATTAAAGCGTTGGTTCTTGAATTTGGTGTCATACTGATTTTGAGTTCATTCTCTTGGGCCGGCCAGTGTGTACTTGGACTCGGTAGAAGCAGTCAATAACTGAGCAGTACTAAAAATAAGAATTAGACGAGATATCCCTAGGCCTGGTAGGTGGATCGCGAACAGTTTACTCCCGTAGATTCAATTAAAGTTTCAGTTCAGAATTCCATGTAGCTTACCCGGATAAATATACACCTGATGAAGGCTGAGTGTACAACGGCCGAAACCTCGTGATAATAGCAACAAAGATTAGGACAATAGTCTGCATTTAAATAGTGTAAAGAGAAGTTATTAAGATTTCTATGTTTAATCTGCCACAGACTAGCATACGCTAACCATTCGTTCTAATTACTTGTATAATCATGGATCTCGTCAACTTCCTACACTTTGCAGCAATGATTGACTTTAGGTTGATAATAGTCCTCCACAACTTCCTATTTTTTGTAGCCCTTAGCAATGTTTGTCTGTTTACTATCCTTAAAAATTTCTGTTCTGCCATTTATTTACACGAAATAAAGGGTTCAGTTCGACATTCCAACCACTTGAAGAAGGCCGGAGCGTACAGCGGCCAAAACGTTGTAATAAATATGGCGACAAAGATGAGGACAATAGTCCGAATAATGTAAATAGTGTACATAATACCTCATCTCAGGAATATAGACAGATAGAGTTATCATTTCCCTACAATACACATTTAATTTTTTTTTTTATTACCGTTATATCAAAACAGAAAAAAACATTTGAGACAATTGATTTGCTTCTATAAATATTTTCATAGTTTGTCTTCTCGAACAATGATTTAGCAAGCTTTTTTCATTTCTTTAGTAGGTCTTCTGGTAGTTACCGATGATCACGCTGTACAGGCAAGTTCATCTTTTGCAGTGACTGCAGGAGAACATCTGGCAGTGGGATGTAGACTGAACATGACCTTCCACAACTTCCTATTCTTTATAGCTCATAGTTCTGCCATTCATTTACACAAGCCTGTTAGCTACTCGTTGGTCCCCCTGTCTCTTTTGCATTCGTTATGTCATGTGAGTGTCAAATTTTCCAAACCTTCTTTCCTCATTCTAGAAATTTCAACTGTCTCTTCCCGAGTTTAATTATAAGTGTGCTTTTTGTTTTCATTTTTTTAAACTTCCTACTTGCTTACTTGATCTGTCTCTGGTATTCTCAACATTCTCTTGCCTGCTCGGAAACTGTCACCCATTTAACTAGGCTCAATATTGCTTAACTAGCGGCAAGCGATGGTCCAGTAATAGAGAATATTAATGATTTTTCCCACTTTTGTAACGTTGTCCGCGGTGGTTATTGAAATAATAACTAGAACGGCAACTTACAAGATATAAGGGTTTATTTTAAACAAAAACAGTGCAAGTAGATATTTACAAGTTCGTCTGAAGCTGGAAAACAAATCGGTATTTACCCGACCTCCACATGAGGCAGGATGTGGCGCAAGGCCGATTTTTATGTGGGGTGATCCGAGCCCGTACGCTCGGGCAAAATTCCCCGTATACCCTGCATACACGGGGTCGGGTTGTCAACCTCCACAGACAAAACTCTGCCCTTCGGCATAGCCTCGTGTGGGTTCCTTTCTGCCCGAAGGCGGAAAGTTCGACGTCTTGATGTTTGCTCAAGCCTATGCTGGAAAGCAAACCCCACTGAGAGCAACACCATAGATGCTTATATTCCTACTGGAACAGTCAATTTGATAGGCGTGTATCAGTTCTTTGTATACTGAGAGTTATCACTATTTACATCATTCGGACTATTGTCCTCATCTTTGTCGCCATATTTATTACAACGTTTTAGCCGTTGTACGCTCCGGCCTTCTTCAGGTTGTTGGAATGTCGAACTAAACCCTTTTTTTTAATTTTTTTATTGTAAACATGGCACGTGGAACTAGAACAGTCCACCCCAGTGAGCGAAATAAAGGGTTCAGTTCGACATTCCAACCACCTGAAGAAGGCCGGAGCGTACAGCGGCCAAAACGTTGTAATAAATATGGCGATAAAGATGAGGACAATAGTCCGAATAATGTAAATAGTGTACATAATACCTCATCTCAGGAATATAGACAGATAGAGTTATCAGTTCCCTACAATACACATTTAATTTTTTTTTTATTACCGTTATATCAAAACAGAAAAAAACATTTGAGACAATTGATTTGCTTCTATAAATATTTTCATAGTTTGTCTTCTCGAACAATGATTTAGCAAGCTTTTTTCATTTCTTTAGTAGGTCTTCTGGTAGTTACCGATGATCACGCTGTACAGGCAAGTTCATCTTTTGCAGTGACTGCAGGAGAACATCTGGCAGTGGGATGTAGCTCCGGCTTTGCAACACCAGCATTAAAAAAAAAATTCTACTTTTGCTCTGTAATGTGTTTTTTTTAATGAATATTGCTTGGTTGGCGTCATGTCGTCATATCAACACAGTGAATAACGAATGATTATATTCACTGACGTTTGAAGGACAAATACATAACTGTAAATCCCTGACGCAACCTGCGGAGATTCCCGCAGGGGTGCTTCCCCCGAAAACTATAATATTAACCTCTGCCAGCCTAGAGTCAATTATTATCTACCCGGCATAACCTCGTATTCATCACATCCTACTTTCTCCCATCACACACCTTTAGTTTAATAACGCTTTACCTTCAGTTGATTTTGGGACATGTGCTGGGTGAATTATAGTAAAAACAATGGAATAAAGGGTTGTTTGTTGATTTTGGCACAAAGTAGCCATTTTCTAAGTGATATTTTAAGAGACATCGCATTTTCAGAGGTATGGAAATCTGTGTATTATCAATGACTGTTACATAATGTCTAAGGTTTCCCAAAATGGGAAAGTGGTGTCAGAATTTGAACCCGGTTCGCTAATTCCATTTTTCTCAAGTTTAACCGTTTAGCTAAGCGCATCATAGTTAGCTGCATATAATTTCTCGTATCTGTTGTACTTTTGTTCAACTGTCAGAACCATTCAGTGGCAACGCTCAACAATGTTAGGCTGAAAATAAAAATGCCGATGTTATTTTGGTTAAATATCGTTGAAGCAGGATTGAATGCCCTAGAGATTTTCTGGTGTTTAAGACTTGATTTAAAACCAACAAATAAAATAGAACGGCCATTTGCATTTGACTAGGTGAGGCTAATATGGCGCGTGAATGAATTCAGGATTTCACTTCTTTTTTCTTCTTCTGTGCGCTTTCAAGCGAAAAGAAAAGCGCCATTTTGTTTTTTTTTGTTTTTTTTGCTTTACTTTTTGTGAAGGTAATTCTCATTAACGATAAAGCTGCGCATGCGCTCACCTTTTTCTTATACAGATACTATGTGCTACATCGCTATTCACTAAGTAGTTAGATTTAAAAGATGCATACATTACTCAAAATTAGGATTTTCTTTCATTGGAAATAAGTACTAACATATGTAAAGCGATTTTTAAAATTATCAAGTTTGTTTATAGATAATTGTTATATAAATTATACTCATTCTCAGCTTCTGTTGGGCAATTTTTGTCCTTAGCTCGAAAGTATGACCTTGAGTTCCTCATATTAAACGCGAGTTTGTGTCACATCTCATCTCTGGGGAGGCCGGGGTTAATATCCGTTGTTGTGCAATTTTTGTCCTTGGCTCGAGTGTAAGTGCTCGGGTTCTCCATATTAAACGCGACCTTGTGTCATATCTCGTCTCAGTTGGCTGGAGTAAATAGCCGTTTCCATCCTGTGTTAATAGGATAGAGATAGTAATATTTAAATAAGAATTATTTCCAAGCACTTCGTAAAACTGTCTGAATTTCTCATTGGTTCGTAGTTTTTGTTTAGCTGCATGGGTTATTTAATGCCGAAATCTAAATATTTTGTGCGCAATTTTATTCATTTATTTATTTGAGGCAATAACAGTTTCAGCGATACTGTCTTACTAATTAACCCATAGCTTGCAGAGGAGAGGTGGGTTCATGCCTTTCCCAAGGTTATTTGTGCGTAAGTGAATATAACAAACTCGACTGGAATTGGAACTCGGAGAGCCGAGTTCCAATTCCTTACACCAACAACATATCAACGATTACAGCAGCTAGTATCCACAAAAGGTTACCCATTTAAGTATTGACCAGCTCGATGTTGCTTAACTTCGGTGATCTTACGAGAGCCGGTGTTTCAGCGTGATATTGTCGTAAGCTCTGAATTTCTGGGATGAGAAGGTTATCTTCTCATCTTTGTTACTAGTCTAGTCTGTTTGTGAATTTGGTGACATAGTAGCTATGAGTTCAATCTCTGGGTATGGCAGTGGAAACAGGACGAGAAATAACTGAGCAGCAATAAAAATAGGCAGGAAAAGAGATATCCCGAGACATGAAAAGTGGAACGAAAACAATCTATCCCCCCGACCCCTAGATTAAATAAAGCGTTCATTTCGGAAAATCCTGCAGATTAGCCGGATCGGTATACACATGATGAAGGCCGTAGGGAGCAACGGCCATAAAGTTGTGATAATAACAAAAAAGATGAGGACAATTAATCTGATATAAACAGTGTAAATAACTTCGTAAAATATAATATTTTTAATAGCTTTTCAAACAAAGGACAGAGAATGCAGCATCGAACTACGAAGACAAATAGCAAAAGGTGTCTTAAAAAGTTAAGTATTAAGAAACAGGAAAATTTCGTTACTAAGAAAAGAGTGATCAACTTCTGTGCAATATTGTCTATAATATAGTGAATGCTGAACAATTCCTTCACAGATGAAGAGGAGACTTCAGACAACAGAGATGTCGCTCTACAGAAGAATGCTGAGAATTCCATGGCTGAAGAGTGTTAGTAAGGAAGAAGTTTTAACAACAATCGATACAAAAATGACGCTTGTACTTAGAATCAGAAAAAAGAAAGTTGAAATTTCTATGGCAAGTAATGAGGAAAAAAGTGTTGGAGAATTCGATACTCACAGGTTCAAAGGAAAACAGCGAGTAACCCATCCAACGAACTTTTGTGAATAGATTGCAGAACAGGGAGGGGAGGTTGAGTAAAATGTCAGACATTGCTAAGAACTAGAAATGATAGGAACTTGTGGAGAGCGTTGATTAGCCACATCCAGAGGAGACATGGCACAAAGAACAAGAAGAAGAAGAAGAGGAGGAGGAGGAGGAGGAGGAGGAGGAAAAAGAAGAAGAGGAGGAGGAGGAAAAAGAAGAAGAAGAAGAAGAAGAAGAAGGTGAGGAGGAGGAAGAAGAAGGTGAGGAGGAAGAAGAAGAAGGTTAGGAGGAGGGGAAGAAGAAGAAGAAGAGGAGGAGGAGGAGGAGGAGGAGGAGGAAAAAGAAGAAGAGGAAGAAGAAGAAGAAGAGGAGGAGGAAGAGGAGGAGGGAAGAAGAAGAAAGAAGAAGAAGAAGAGGAGGTGGAGGAAGAAGAAGAAGAAGAGGAAGAAAAGAAAGAGGAAGAAGAGGGAGAAGAAGAAGAGGAAGAAAAAGAAAAGGAAGAAGAGGGAGCAGAACAAGAACAAGAATGGTTGTCCCACAAAACTTGTCACATTGATTAAATCGAATGTGTATTCAAATGTAACACTTCTCATGGGACAGACATCGTCTTTTTAACGACTCCCGTCAAGGTTGCCCTTTAGATGATGCCATTTTGATGCTACTCACTGAGCAGGTCGGGTAGTTATGGTAGTGCAATTTGTCCATGTTTTTAATTACCTACTTTTTTTCCTAATAACCATCGTGACATGCCAGTGACGATACATTTTTTCTTTCTATCTGAGATTTGAATCAGAGCATGGAGAAGAGGACCGTGTATTTTGTATGGCCATTCATGCGAAGTAAACAGAAAAAAATTCGATATTCGAACTCGTACAGGAAACTCTTACTTCTTTCCTCCAAATCCAATGAAATTTAAATTATTATAATTACCGTAATTACTCGAAAATAATACGCACCCTTACAAATGATCCCAAAATTAAGAAATATATCTATCCCTATGTATAATACGCATCTATAAATTATGTAAAAAAAAACCCAAGAAAACAAAAAAACAAATAGTTACGAAGACATTATGTCGACCTTGACATTAAGAATAAAATCGAAACTAAGCCGCTAAAATAATGTTTTACTGCTGGTGGTGACAGTAAAAAAACCGGAATTGGAACTTATAAAATGGATTCAGGAATCTTGGGATTCCATCAGTGAGGATGTTATAAAGAGAAGTTTCAAAAAGTGTTGTCTCACGACAGCCATGGATGGCTCCGAAGATGGCATCCTTTGGCAAGAGAATGAAGAGGCAGAAGATAATTTTGAACAGGACGAAGATAATATTTTGAATAATAATTTGTTTAATGACAATTTAGATATTGATTCTATAATAGAAAATGGTGATGATGATAATGAAAATGAAAATTTTAATAAATTCTTAATTTGATATTTGATTTCAATAAATTCTTAATTTGATATCCCCTTTTCTTCGAAATTGACCTTTTTTTTATTTTTCTATTTTTTCGCCAAATAAAAATGCGGTTACTGATAAATATAATATTGACAAAAAATGTTACATCTATTATTATTGGATTTAAAATGAAAACTGAGATAAGATGTTTCTTATTTTACAACAACTAGTACGAATTTATAATATGTACTAGTTATTCTAAAACAAGAAACAGATTTCAATAATGAAAAAAATATTTTTGTTTAAATCTATTTATAATACGCACCCCTACCATTATCTGTAATTTACAGTAAAAAAATGCGTATTATTTTCGAGAAATTACGGTAATACAATTAAAACAGTTCTTTAAATACTGGTTTAGTTCCAGTTTCTGGGACGAGGTGTCATTTTATATCAATTATATAAATATATATAGTAAAATATATTATGTCAGTTATATGGAATGCGGCAGAAATACCACCCACATAATGGTAAGGAGTTGTTGATATGGATAAGTGCGAAAAATAACGGTTAACTTTAGAATTGAACAGATTTAGTGATCGGAGAAACATTATCTAGGGAGTCTGTTCCATAGGTCAGTGGTTTGCGGGAAGAAGCTGTTTGAAGGGAATTTACTTCTTGACGATGGAATACGGAGGGAATGTGGGTGTTTTGTTGCTATGTAAGTGGCATGGCGGGTCATAGATTTGAATGTCAGAACTGATGGAGCCAGGAGATGCTCGTCCGAGCACTTTCCATGGAAGGAGCGATAGAGCAGTAAGAGACTGATCATATACCTCTTGGGGGAGAGAGGTTTGTTTGTGGAAAATAATTCATATTCTACGGGACTCAGAGACGCTTTTGAACTCTATCAAAACTGGAAAGTGAGGTCTGGGCAACTCGCACCCAAATATGGCAACAGTACTTCATTTTCGACCTGATCTGGCTCCTATAGAGCCAAAGGATAGTATGAGGTATCTGGTACTTACTGGAGCGGTACAGGAATATATATAAGATATTACCCGCATTTTGGGCGATGGATCGTTTATAGGCATTCCACTTGAGGTCTGGTGTGAGTTTGAGGCGCCAAATCCTCTCGAGGCACGGCCCTCACTCGAGAGGATATCCGTTCATCGTGACTGATCAGAAGAGAGGTCAGCTGGCAATCTCTTATTGTCAACACTTTTAGAGAGGTGCGCTTGTATATCGTCGTATCATCGGCATAGACATTTACAAATATTCGGAGTATATTCTTAGTTAGATCATTTATGTAAATCAAAAAGAGGTTTGGTCCGAGAAGTGACCGTCAGGTACGTATGACTAAAATTAGTATATATATATATATATATACTAGACGTCGCTTAATCACCAAGTTATAAAATATCTAGAAATAGACGCATAGATAAGTATTAATTATTATTATTATTATTATTGATCTTTGTTGCATCTTAAATTTAGTTGCATTTCATTACAGCAACTTATCTGGCTCAAGGCCTAGGGTTAGAGGGATCCACTCATTCAGTACTTCTCCTTTTGAAGAAGTTTGGGGTCATTATTTAGTGCCTGGAGTTTCACCAATGGGGAAGTGCCTAGTGGGCTTAAACAACTTTTCTACAGTTTTGCAGAAATCTTACTTTAAACTCTGAGCTTGTCACATTCTGTTGCGTCGTTAGTGCGCATATAAATACCTACTTTGTCTATCTCTGGTCATTTACCATCCGTTGGGAGTTTGAAGAACCCACAAAACGTTTTCTTTAATATTTAGCAAGAGACAAGCCAGTTTTTCAGGATAATTCAAGTAGCTTTTTGTATAACTTTATCAAGTAAACACAACAAATTTGACTTTTTGAGTCATAATATTAGAAAAGAAACAAGCAGTTTTATTTATTTATTAAAATAGAACGAAACGTTTTCTTACATATTTTAAATAATATTACTACTATTAATACGACTAAAGCAATTGGAATTAAGATGAACAATACTAAGCAGAAATAATAGTGACTGATAATACGTTAATAATATTACTACTAATAATTCCACTAATGTAAATAAAGCAAGAAAATTAAGACGAAAAAAAATGGCTAAATATGCAGTATAACCTGTCTTTGACGGGGTCTTTCAATTACTGGGAATTTTTACCGTTCAGTTGGAGCAGTTTAAGTTTAAAGTCAGCCCACCTGAAATAACAACAATTGGGTGCAACAGAGGCATATCCCCAAACGTGGGTTAACAATTTGAATGGGGGTGGGTGGCCCTGAAAAGGGAACTGCATAATAATAAATAATATTATTGTAATAATTTAAACTATTTATTTTTATTAAAGTTTTTTATGAAAGATATATATCCAAGAACAGATAGTAAATAGTAAGACATTGCTGAGAGTTATAATGGGCAGGAAGTAGTGGAGAGCCATTATCGCCAACAGTTTGGACGCAAAACCGGCACTGAAGAATTATCTATCAAACAAAAAAAAATTCATCAAAATCGGATGGAAATGCATAAACAACATCCGATCACACACACGAAGGAGTAATGGATAGCGGCTTGGATTGAGGAATCGGAGAGCCGAGTTCGAATTCCAGTCGAATCCATTACATTCACTTACGTGCTAATACCCTTGGGAAAGGTGTGAATCCTCTTCTTCTCCCTCCAGCTATGGGTAAATAGCAGGACAGACTGAGTTCTATAGCCTTGGATGGCAACTGGTCTAAGAGAAGGAAAACTGCGGAGGGTTGTTTGGGGACCTTGTGGCACGTAGTGCACCAGGTCTCTGTAATCGGACCTTTAAAAAGTGTAGATGGTCCTGCACGAAACCTTCACCACTATAATCAAATCTCATGTGCTATACATGCGGGTTTGAGGACCGCTTGTGAATTCCAAATTCCCATGAAACTTTAATATTGGAGCCGGCTCAATCCACCCCGGGTGAAGAGAGAGATCACAGACATACACACACATTTTGAGAATTATAGATATTAAATATAATATTACTACTAAGTGGCTTGCTGCCTGTTGGAAATCATCTCATGTAGTTCCTGTTTTTAAGAATTCAGGTGAACCTTCTGATCCTTTAAACTATCGGCCTTCTACCTCTGTTTGGCAAAGAACTAGAACTGTAAATTGGTTATGAATCTTACCTCAGCGTGTCTTTCAAACAAACGACATGGCTTTCGCTTTTCTAAGAAAACTCTTTATGTATTAACGGTTATTGGTATCAATATCTATCAAGCTTTAGATAAGAAAAGGTGCAGTTCGTGCTGTTGCCTTAGATATCTTGAAGGTATTTGACAGTGTGTGGCCTACTGGTCTTCTTAACACGTTGAAAGGTTATGATATTTTTGAGCGAATGTTTGAAATGATTCAGTATTTTCTTTTCGAATCTCGAAATGGGAGTTGTTTTGAACGGCTTTTAGATCACTTTGCCTTAGAGAAAGTGTCTCCAAGGCTCTATCGTTGGACTTATGCTGTTCCAATTTTTTTTTCAACGAGTTTCCTGAGGGCATCAGTTCACAAATTGGTATCTATGCTGACGACACAACCATTTATTCCTGTCTTAATAGGAATACTGATCAGTTCAAATTGGCAGCTGATCTAAAAAAAATATTCTGTTGTTAAATGGGGCAAGGAACACCTCTAAAACAAAACTGAGAGAATCCTTTCTGCCTTCCATCAGCATGACTGGTGATGAGAATGACTGTGCGCTTTCTTGGGCTAACGTTTTACACTGACATGAAATGGAAAGTTTATATTAAATCGACTGCTGCGATGAATCTTGGTTCTCTGTGTCATTCTAGACAATTTTTCTTGACAGGATCTATCTTACATATTTCTACCAATCGTCTATGCTTAGAATATTGCTGCCAGATATGGTATGGTGATCTTGCTATATATTTGGATATCCTTGATAGAATCCAAAGAATTTGGAATTCTATTGGTCTTGACCTGACATCTCGACTTCAGTCATTTTCCTAACATTGTAATGTGGTTACCCTATGCTCTTTTCTATAAATGGTAGATGTTCTAATGAACTCTATGGTACCTAAACTCTATGAATTTAACCCCATTACTAGATTGGTGATAAGACCTCATCATTTTACAGTTGAAATGATTAGATGTAACCATAAGTTCTATGCTAACATTTTCTCATACTTATCGCTTGTAGAACTCTCTACTGGCTTCTTGTTTTCCAGTCAAATTTGATCTTCAAAAATTGAAATCCAATGTCAATCTTCTGTTCTCTTAAATAATTTTCTTTCATTGTTCTCGATCCTTAATAATTTTTTTCTTTCACAGTCAGTACCACTCCCTGTATGTTAGTAGTTCTGTTAATTAAAAAAACCAAGATGAGAAAAATGCTAGTCAAAAATTAATAATATCTGAAAATACTTGATCGAATAAAAATTCAAGATAATATTATTATTACTAATACTTCTAGTGCCAATAAAGTAACTAAGATTAAAAAAGAAATGATACTATTATTTACACCACGGCCTTGAAGATGGCACAACGACCTAAACGTTTTGATAACAACAACAAAGATGAGAACAATAGTAAATAATAATAATAATAATAATTATTATTATTATTATTATCATTATTATTATTATTATTATTATGATAAATATTCATCCTAGAAATTCAGACGTAAAAATACGAGTCAAAAATTAATAATGGCTGAAAATACGACGTGTAATATAATTTTGAGATAATACTATGAGTGAAACTAATGCAATTAAAATTACGACGAAAGCAATATTAGTGGAAAATTAATAATTATTAATGATATTACCAGAAAATTCAAGTAGACTTGTTGCCATGACTTGATGCCATAACAACAGAACGCTGCATTATGTGTGCATTAATTAAAACTCTTGCACCAAACAATAACATTTTCTTTCGCGTTGCAACGTCCAACAGCAAATATAGTGTGCAATGGATAAACTGTCGTCTAAATTACGCAAAAATGAAAATAACACCGGCATATCATTTTAACAGATATATTTACCAAAATTACACAAAAATATATTGAAATACTCAGTCAGTTGCGTGATACACGCTTAGGCGATCATGTATCTTTCGATACATGACTGACGAGGCAGATTTTTTTTCCCGCTGTAGGTTGCAATTTCTTTCTACGGTAGACCAGTTGCCATCCAAGGCTATAGAACTCGGTCTGCCTAGCTATTTATCCATAGCTGGTGGAAGAAGAAGAGAATTCATATCTTTCCCAAAGGTATTAGTACGTAAGTGAATGTAATGGATTCGACTAGAATTCGAACCACTATCCGTTACTCCGCCGTGCTTTGAAATACTAAAAAGAAAATCTATTCAATAAAATCGCCATTGGCTTTAAACCAGGGTTTCCAAACGACTTTGGAATCTTTTGCAACTCTTTTTGGCGGTCAATGCTACCATAATCCTTGCTTTTAGTTTATCTTTGGTGTTACAAGGAGTTTTGTTGGTCTCTCACTCAATTACTTCCCACATGTAATAATGAAGGGGATTGCAGTTTGGGGAGTTAGGTGGCCAGATGAAAGGGGTGATGTGATCGCAGAAATTGTCTGACAGCCATGACTCATCCAATTCTTTCCGAATCCTCTTCACTGCCCTCAGATTCACACCTAAACACTCTGAAATGTTCATATTGACGCTTCCGGTGCGAATGCCAAGCAATGCAGCATTTCCAATTTTCTGTTGGAGTGAATTGCGTCATGGTGCTCTTTTTCTCACAGGCGATGCTCAACTCACCCTACCATACTGTGCAGTCGACAAAATCAAAAGCAAACAACGCGCATGCGTGAAATTAAAAATATAAAATCTTGACAATTTTCCCCTTTGCATCATGTATGTCAATAAACATTTTCGCTTCATTACTTTTTAAGATCTTTTTAAGATTCGGAACACTGAAGTTGTTGAAAATGCTTGAAATGAGTCAGGCCGAATAAGCATAACTGGAATTCAGATACGTAAATATTTAAAGCATTGATTTAAAAATATGCAGAAAAGGTTCTAATGGAAAGAAAAGAAAAAAAAACAGCACTATTTGACTATTAGAGAAAAATTAAATATATATATAAATAAAAAAAAAAGATTATTTCAAACAAATAGCTGTTATAAATAATTAGATTTTGAATTCATACCAAACCATATGAACACGTATGGTTTATTTAATACCCAAATCTTAATATGAAAATTCAAACGTTATAATTAATTCAAGAGAATGAAATTATTTCATGATTAAGTTATAACTACTTATCTGCATTTTTTAACCAAATAATCTTACAAAATCAAACGAGTAGTGAAAACATTGTTTCTCCTCAGAAAAAATGAGATTAATCATAGTAAATTCCTATTTTTTTTTGACAATGTCTGCCATATCTTCAGTTTTACTATTTACATTATTCGGACTATTGTCCTTGAGGACACATGGCACATTGGATAAAGGCGTTGGTTAGATCCAGTGACAGGACCCAAAGAGTTGTGAGTTCAATACGTGGAGAACTTGGAGAAGGGAATTAACAGGAGATAACTGACATTCATTAGACATGGCACGTGGAACTAGAACAAAAAGCGAAATAAAGGTTTCAGTTCGACATTCCAACCATCTGAAGAAGGCCGGAGCGTACAACGGTCGAAACATTGTGATAAATATGACAACAAAGATGAGGACAATAATCCGAATAAACAGTGTACATAACACCTCATCTCAGAAATATAGACAGATATTGAATGTCTTCTGTTTTGCTATAAAAATGCACGGATGGTCATTTTGTTATAAGAATTTATTGTTGGTCATTACAAAAATATATTGTTGATTATTTTACTATAAATATGTAATGTTGGTAATTTCTTTTATAAAAATATATATTGTTATTTTTTTTAAATAAAAATGTGTTGCTGGTAATTTCACTACGAAAGTATGTTGATAATTTCTTTCACTGCGAAAGTATGTTGATAATTTCTTTTATAAAAAAATTATTGCTGGTATTTTTACTATGAATATGTATTTCTATACTTTCCCAGTGTTTTGATTTCTGTTTGGGGATTCACTATTTTCCCATATTTGGGACTCTAACAGGTGCTACCACCCTGGGTCCGCATGGACCTGGGAACAACAGCAATTAAGAGGTGGTTCCGTGCCCCTCAAAACTTCCACTTTACCTATCCGAGGCCGTGTTTAGTTTAGCTTCATGCCAAATGCCAAAATAGAAACCAGTTTATAAGCATAGTGGATGTGATAAACATTATCTCACCTGCTTATCATAGAAAAAGTAACTAGCTGCCTACACCGTAGAAAGTGGCTGTCTACACTGTATTAATAGCAGACAAGATGGCATTGATGACCATCGCTAAGCCAGTGAGTTTTATCGTCATCAGTTTTGGGTTGATTGACTGATTTTTATCTTATCAACCCTGTCTAGGTTAGTTAAAGCCAGAAAATATATTTAGATTGTAAAAATATTTCTTGATATAATAATGATTTAAGTGAATATAACAAAGCCAATTGGAACTGGAACTAGAACCCGGCTCTCAGATTTCCAATTCCGAACTACTATCCATCACAGCAGCAGCACATTCACAGTACCTTGTATTCCAAAGCGGTCACCCATTTAGGTACTGACCAGGCTCGATGTTGCTTAACTTCAGTGATTGTACGACAGTCGGTGTTTCAGCGTGATATGACCGTAATTATTTATCGTCATTGGATGCTGCATATTTTTTTTTAACCCTGTGCCAGACTAAGCTAGTAAATTGGATGTCTTGTTACAGTGAATGACAAGATCGGCTCTCTCACCATTAATTCTGTTGTGGGTTCGATCCTCATTGGGTACCCCAGTGCTGTCACTTTATGCCAGGCCAATTTAAACTAAGTAAATAACCATAAAATAACTGTTTGACAATTTTTGACTCTCCGCAACATCCTTTTTAGATCCGAGCAATGTTTTTTCCCTTTATCATCACCTTCTCCCACTCTCTCTTCCGGTCCCCGTCTTTCCATCCATTTGCACACACTCGTTAAGTTGGTTACCTCCTGTTTCCTTTTGCCCTCTTGCCTTTAATATATCATGTGAGTGTCAAATTCTCGAAGTCTACTTTTCTCGTTGTATCTCCTAGAATTTTTTCTAGATTGTTACCATACTTTTTTATTCGTGTCGTGCCCTTTCGTTTCTCTCTTTATTGTCTACCTACGCGCCAACAATTTTCGTTCTGCTAACCATTTTCACGTGATTCTTAGGTACGTTACTCGCCTGTTTTATCTGCCGCTTTTGCCTTGAATATATCCTCTGAGTGTTTAATTCTCCTATCCCTCTTTCCTCGTAATGTGTAGCAGAAATTTCAATGATCTCTAGCTGATTCCCAGCATGCCTTTATTTTTCTTTCTATTTTCTCACACGATTTTTTTCCAAGAACCGCTGCTCTGTGGAAAGGACACCTGCGTGAATACTTCCTGAAATATAACGATCTTAACCTCTTCAAGTCAAGGTTCAATTGTTACCTATTTTCCATATCCACATCATCTTCCATTCCTACATACTACTTTTATATTCATATCAAACACCTCATTCAGTAACTCTCTAGCTTGAGTAGCTCTTGAGCCTTGTATTGGATGAACACTAGTTAAAAAGAAAATGCTACGTCCATGGTATTCTCAGCATCCTTCTGTAGAATCATATCTCTGTTACCACATGTCTCATATTACATAACAGTTCAGCTTTCTTTTCTATAGTTCTAACATAATTTTCTTGTTTCTTAATATTTTGCTTAGCTTTTAGAACGTATCTTTCGCTATTCATTGTTACATTTTTCGCCTTCCCATTTTCTGGAAGAATAAAAATACGGAAAATAGTTGTTTTTCACAAATTTTGCAAATGCAGGAAAGGTTTGTCTGTCTTGAAAATCAGCATTTTCAGCTTTATATTTTAAGCGGGGTTGAAGACGTGATCTCTAGAATCGGTCAGAAATACGCTTCTACCTCCATAGAAAAGGACGGAAACGGAAGAAATTAACCGGTAGCGATTAGAAAAGGAAACACGCCGGGTTCTATTTGCGACAGGATAAAGAAATTTAAATGAGATACGAAAAAAGGTAAAAAAAATTAATTAGAAACAATTTGGGCTGAACTGTCTGCGTTGCAGACAAACATGAGACGTTGAAGATTGCTATCAAACACTTTGAAAATGAATTGAAGACTCGTATCTTGTCCCCAAATGCAAAGACAGAAATTGTCAGTGATGACTGATAGAAAAGAGACGTCATAATAAATACATACAGACATCTCAAATTTCATAGGATAGTTACCTAGTATCATGTACGGCCGCCACTAGTTCGGTAAAGTTAAAATAACTCTACGTCTAGATTCCGCAAGTGGACGAAATGGGGCTGGAGAGATGTTGAGCTATATCGTCTGTGTAGATATCCACCAACCCCGGATATTGGTAGGTGTTTCCGACGTGCGAATCGACCTCGCGACCAAGCCAAGTTCCGTAAATGCTCAACTCGGCCGCACATAATGGCCACAATCCTTTGCCAGAAATCTCGAAATTCATTCGTGCTCATTAACAATATCCATGGCGTCAATACCACATATATGCATCTCACATTATAGAACCACTAACAGTGTCTTGTTGACAGCTGGGGTCGCCCAAAACTAGATTTGTGACTCATCGGACCACGCTACAAGCTTCCATTCCTCGAGGATCCATTTAGCGATATCACGATTGCAGGTGACGCGCAGTGTTCAATGTTTTGTATTGACAGGGGGATCTTGATGGAATATCTAACCCATGTACCATGAAAAATGAAGTAAGTAAAGAAATCGTTTGTTGCCATGTATGTAATGTAAACCAGTGTTCGTAAACAATTCTAGCTAGACGTCTCCGGTCTCATGGTCGGCCATGGCGTTATCCACGGAGTGGAGGTGCCTTTCGTCATGTATTCTCGGCTTAATGTGACGTCATATATTTCAATACGTCCCACAATTTCAGAAATGGCATTTCTCGTTCGATTATTCACATCGCCTTGCCAGCACCGGCCTGACGGGTGTTCAAACTAGTTCATCAGACATCAGATAACATTTAATATAGGTCAAGTCATTTCCATTACGATGACGTCATCTACCTTTACTTTTATATACAGTTACCTATTAGATTTGGTACGTCAGCGTACGTGTAACCCTTAAATAGGTTGTTTTATGGTTGTTTTCTAAGCGTAGCTTAGATGTAGAACAAAATGGGTTGTTTTATGATCGTGTTTGTCATTCCGACGTTTCAGGGAAACCTCGGTTTCTCTAAATCATTTCCAATAATGGCAGATAAAATAGAATGAACAATTGTTAGAAGATTGTTTAAATGTTTTATGTTGTGTTCTAGTCTGGTTTGGCAAAATATTAAAACAGCCGGCAAACATTTTTTTTTTATTTATGAGCAATTAATGAACGTCATTTATTGTTTATCGGGAATGACATGATGTGTGTTTATTGAAAAAAAAAAGCCAAAATTCAATAACTGCAAAGTAAGTTAAGCCTCGTTACACACTTATTTTACAAACGAGAAGGCTTTTCTTTTGAATGTAAGAAAGGAAATTTTTAAAAGATCCAAAACAATCTATACACTTTCTTGTAGAAAATTTATATAAATCAATCAAGTTTTTAAATGAAGGGACTAGATCAGAAAACTTTCTTTTCTGACCAAGTAGTCGAAACGTTATTTTCTGTAAGAAAATACGAAAATCTAATTAACAAATACAAAAGAGCAAATATTCTTGTAGCTGTGATGGAAAGTTTCATTATTACACACATCGTTCATCTTCAGAAGATTTCAGATTTGTTTCACTCCATAAATATTAGTTATCTTGTCGGCAGTTCCAGTATTTCGTAGATACTAAATAAAAAATAATCAAAGAATTATTCAAATTGAAACCGGAGTCGTTCTTTTATAGTATACCAATATACAATATGGTGTAAGTTTGTTTTGCAGCATATCAACCTCAATGGATTATTTAATGCCGACAATTTTTTATTGCTGGAAATTCTTTTTTTTTTCAAAAATTTATTGCTAGTAATATTTTTTTCGCAAAAAAGTATTGCTAGTAATAATGTATTTCTGATCATTTTTTACAAAAAATTATTTCTAATATTAAAGCCTATTTTTACAGTTTCATAGTGTTTTAACCCCAGTTTATGTGTTAAGTATTTGCCCATAGCTGGGACACGAACAGGTGCTACCACCCTGGGTCAGGATGGACCTGGGAACATCAGCAATTAAGAGGTGGCTCCACGCTTCTCAAAACCTCCTGATCAAAGTTGATTTGCTGTTGGACGTAGTTTATCGTCTTACCCAGGACGCCGATGTAGTTTATCATCATACCCAGGACGTCTGGTGCAAGCTCAGAGATAAGAGTAAATAATTTGTTCACTGAATAGCAACGCTATAAATTTATAAGAATACATGACATGACAAGATAGACTGAATAAATTGCTAAGATTTTAGGGTGGTCAACCCTGAGGCCACATTATGCTCTGTTCTCATCCACGCCCTGACTATTTTGTATTGCCATGGACGACAGATATTGATAATTATTATTGTCTTTTCTTTCTCTCCTCATATTTAATCCATTGTTAGGACAGTTGCTAAGAAAATTGGTACACTGTGTGGTGCGTGCGAGACAATTTTTCTATTCAGAATCTATCGAGCATATGTATAAGTCTGCTATGCGTCCATGTTTAGAATATTGCTACGACATATGATCCGATACCCCAGCTATTTACTTTGAGTTCTTTGATAAAATCCAAAAAAGAATCAGCAATTTTATTAGTCCTGATCTGGTGGCTCGACTTCAGTTAAATTCCCTTCCCGCAAGGTTGCCTCTCTTTGTCTTTTCTATAAATACGTTCATGTTAATTGTTTGGTATGGTACCAGGGTTTTTTGAATTTTAACGTAGTATTTGACTGGTGTGAAGATCTGATTAATTTACAGTTGACCTGGCTAGATGGAGCCATAAATTCTATCAATCGCTAAAAATTTTCCTCTTTTTTTAATGTTTCTGTTCCTAATTCTTCCCTCTCATTTTTTAGGTCTCCTTCCGGTTCCATTTCTGTTGTGTTTTCTCGACAGACAGCGTTAATCTGTAAAAAAAATAAATGCAATATCAATCGCTATTTACTGTCTTCTTGATTAATATTTCCTCTTCGTGCTCTTTTCTTAATGTTTCTGTTCTTTTTATCTAATTCTTGCATTGTTCTTTTACCAATTGTGCTTTTCATGGTAGCTTTACTCTTTTAGCTATGGGGTGATACCGATTAAAATAAAGTTTTTCCGTTATTGCTGTTGTTCTTTTCTTTTAAGAAAATTTTTCTCGACTTTTCTATCTTTCACCGATCTGGCCATTGTTTTTTATCTAAATCTTTTTCATTGTTTGTTCTTTTATCTAGAAATATTTTTTCATGCCATTGTTCTTTTTATCTAGAAATGTTTTTCGCCATATTCTTTTATCTAGATATTTTTTCATGACCATTTTCTTTTTTTATCTAGAAATTTTTCATGGCCATTGTTCTTTTTAAAGAATATTTTTCATGGCCATTGTTCATTTATCTAGAAATATTTTCATTGTTCTTTATCTAGAAATGTTTTCTGGCCACGTTTTTTCACCGGCCATCTTCTTTTATCTAGAAATTTTTCATGGCCATGT